TAAAGGCGCAACGGAACGGTTACTGGTTACTGCCGACTCCCTGCTAATACCGACTGTCTTGGACTCGGCTACCTTCCGACCGAGTCCCCAACTCAGTTACCACCTTTTGCTAAAAGGGTCTCTCCACATTATCCAATGGGCCTTATAAAATAGGTTAAGGATGCCACCAGGAAGGATAGAACCCGAGACCTCTAACATAACAAAAAAAAAAAGCTAAACTCACCAAGCCACACCACCCCTTATGTATTTAAGCGCAACAGCTAGGATATAACCGGGTTGCTTCTGTGTTGTCTCTGAGAACCAAGACAACGATTTTATAAAATAGGTTAAAGATAGAACCCGAAACCTCTAACATAACAAACAAAGTTAAACCCACCAAGCCACACTAACTCTTGTTTACTAAAGTGTTACACTTTATATTTTACCTATAATTTCGGGTTGGTAGCTTTGACCACCGTCATGACCGGCCGGCGACTACCCGTCGACGTGTCCAGCCGGCCACCTCAGTCCATGGCGTGGGCGGGCAGGGTGGTGCGCCCCAGGCACTTCAACCGCGCCCCTAGTCCTAAGGGGGTGCGACGCGGTGCGGTGTGGTGTTCAGAATGGTGCGGTATGGTGTGGAGGGGTAAGGCCGGTATGATAGGGGGTTGGTAATCGACCCTTCCAGCTAGCGCATGACGAACAAGGTTCGCTATATGTTTGTAATCGACCCTTCCGACATGCATGAGACACGTGGAGAATGGATATGAAAGAGTAGTTGATGTCGTGCAGTTAGCTATAGCCCATTTCTTTGGCCGCGATCTTTGTAATTGGGCCGCCAACTGTCTAGGTAATAAAGCCCCCCCAGGTAATAAAGGGAAAATTATGTTGTGCAACCGTGTGCACCATGCTTGGTGCACACTGTTCTCTGTATTCACAAATCACAGAACTATATGTTCATAATTTGATAACTATACAGTTTAGAAATTATGGATCAACAATAAAGAAATTATGAATCAACAGTCCTGATATTATGAATCTGCAGTGTAGAAATTATGAATCTACTGTATAGAAATTATGAATATACTGTATTTAAATTATATATGAATCTACGGTTTAGAAATTATGAATCTACAGTAAAGATTTTATGAATCTACAGTATAGAAATTATGAATCTATAGTATAGAAATTATGAACCTATAGTATAGAAGTTCAGAATCTATAGTATAGAAATTATAAACTATTTTGGACCTAGCACCCCGGGTAATAAAACTACTATTTTCTTACCTCCTGTTCTGTACCTATATACCTGGTACACTCCGGGTAATAAAGCTACTATTTTCTTACCTCGCATTCTGTACCTATATACGCGGTACTATTTTGGGTCTAGCGCCCCGGGTAATAAAGCTAATATTTTCTTACCCCCGATCTATACCTATATACCCGGTTTATGGTGGTCCCGGTCCCTATAAAACCATGAATATACTTATTTAATTTGGAAAAAAATGAAGGCTTATTATAAAACTAAAATAAAATTTCGTTATTTTCCTTATTACGGAGTATATTAGTGCATAGTATATAGTATATGTTATGTTATTTCCCTATTTGCAAAATAAAAATAATTCCTTCAATTCTTTCCCTCTTTGCAAATTTTTACTTAGCGCGAATTTTTCCCTCTTTGCAAATTTCCCTTCGACAGTTCGACTAACACCGTCGTTCCCAACTCTCCATTGCAAATTTTCCATCTCCTCAGTCAGTGCTCGCGCCGCCCAGTGCTCTCCGCCGAGAGTGTCGTCTCGCCGCCTCCAACTTCCGACGCCGTCGCTGCCTCCAACCTCTGCCGCCTCCCTCCTCTGCCGCCATCGCTCCAACCGCCACCGCCATGAAGAAGTCAGTAAAGTGGTGTGAAAAATTGAAGGTTAGCTTTTCTCTTGTAATGTAATAAGCTGTGAAATTCATCCAAATATTATCTGATTGTATCAATGTGTGTGTTTATGCTAAACAAATTTGGATTGAAGCTAGGGTTGGGGAATTGGGGTTTGACGATTTGAAAAATTTATGAGAAATTTATACCTCAGTGTTGTTACATTTATGCTAAAAATCCGAGTTCTTAGTTTCTTCATGTACATAAGATACCCTTCGTAGAAAAATTTTTAACATGAAACTGGAATTTTATGCTAAGCTAGATTAGTACACTCTTGTTATACACATGTGATGCCATTGGTGTAATCTAAGTACTTAATTACGTTGTTTGTTGCTGAGGAGTATCATAATGGAAGTAGGTTGAAGCATAGTACTTTTAATATATTATACTATGAGATTCTGTTGCTCTGTTTGAATGGATTATGTTATTTAAGAAAGTGGAGACTACAGAAAAAAATCTATCTCCAGTAGATATACCATGCACCAGGGTCCACTTTTACATATGTAACTCTCTAAGATTTTCTGTCCAATTCTATGTGCTGACCCACTAATGTAAAGTTCTACTTGACTGATTTGCATGTATGTACAATTTTTTTTCCAATTGGGTGTCATCTAAATATATATATAATAACAACCCATAGTAACATAAGCAAATTAAACAAATATATTCATTCTTTTTGTGTGTGTGTATATATTCATTCTCTTCATTACAAGTCCATTCTATCAAATTATAATGTTCATATTTCATCCATATCATATGCTAATTAGCTCAATGTGTTGAGGTAAAAAGAGTAAACCTGGTTAAGAAGATGATATGGATCGGATGGAATAATTTACGGATTCCCATTATCCTGCCATATTCAATACATGACGACAAAAAAAAAAAAAAAGAAAAAAAAGATAGGTAGCTAGCTTCTTCCTAAAAGTAGGTGTAAGCCTAAATTAATAGAGTGAGTTGAGCTGCATATTTACCAATCTTTTATAGTGAGCATGGAGAGTGATAAATGATTTACTAGATTTAGCATAACATGACAAGTGATGGTTTCTGCTAATGTGGTTATTGATTTACTATGTATGAAAACTGGAAAGGAACGTGAAACAAAACAAATCAAATCAGGTAGGAACCAATAACCTATTAATTAAGTTGACCTAAAATTTATTTTAGATAAGGGAAAATTATAAAAAATGTCCCTCTATAATATGTCAATTATTAATGTCACCCTTGAATTATGAGTGGTGTAAATGTTGCCTCTCAATTATTAAAATGGTGCACATATAGCCCCTCCCGTAACGGACCTGTGGTTCCTCACCGCTGTTTATCGCTGGTACTTCGAATCGAGGGGGGGGAAAAAACAAATAAATTACATATTTACTCTGACTTAACGGTGTCGTACACTAAAATAAATGCATTGTAGACACAAAATTCTAAATTAAAGAAATGCATATGTATCATTTATTGTTGTTGTAGCTACTAATTTATTTTTAATTTAATAAGAATAAAATAGAGTGAAGAACTTAATTATGCCAACTTTGATTGTGGTGGGATTCGAACCTAAGATCTTTCTTATTGAAATCAATGAGTAAGTTAATAATTAAGGATACATTTGGAAATCACAACAAAAAATTAAAATATGAATAATCTGAACCATTCATTTCATCTATTAATTTGACGGACCTTTTTTTCTACCCATTGTATGCCTAATTTTATTGGCTCTTATTATTATTATTATTATTATTATATATATATATATATATATATATATATATATATATATATATATTTGGATCCACAGAGATCACCCTAGTTAGGTGAGATTATGAGATTCGATCCTGAGCATCCACTTTTTTATTTTAACGGTTCAGATTTCTGGATTATTTTATTTGTTAATGGCTGATTTGTAATATACTTAGGGGTAATGGAGTAATTTTGCACACGCATTTATTTCTTTCCTTATCAAAATCGTGATATTTTCTTTGTTTCCTTGTGCGTATGTTTTTCTTCAAAGTCAAGAGTCGCAGCTGCTAGCCTTTCTTCTCGATTTTTCTTCTTCCTAAGAGTCACAACTACTACGCCTTTCTTCTCGCAAACATCACATTCCAGTGGCTCGCTGATAAGGAAAGTCATCGTCTTCTTCTCAAGGACGCCGAAACAATCGGATGCCGAACGCGCGCTGAGAGGTGATTTTTCTTCTTTATTCTTTAATCCTACATTCCTACTGTTGGGTTAGGGAGGCGACGGAGGGAAGGGGCTGCGGCGGAGGGCTGCGACCTCCTGCTACAGCTGCGGTGGAGGGTCATGGCTTCCTTTATTCCTCTTTGCATTGTGGATTTTCAGAAAAATGATTCTATGTAGCTTGGCTTACCTTCTCCTCCGATCCGTCCCTCCGTGCAACCACCGTGGATGACTTGTACGCCGTCCATCTCCGTGACCCTACTTGCATTTCCTTCTCTCACTGCCTTTTGAATTACAAGGGCTTCTTACCCATCTAGGTAACTATTTCTCCCATTTCTATTAGGTTTTCGCAAAGTGAAGACATTTTTTCTAGGTTTCCAATGATTCTATGCTTTCATCTTTGTGTGTAATCCAATAAAATTTTACCACATAAATGTTACTTGAACTCAAGGAAGAGAAGAATCGGTAGATTATAATAATAATAAAATAAATACATGCATCCCAATCAGTACAAATCGATTATTAACATGTTAAAAATGTCAATTATTTTTTTTTATCAGGTTCGTTGATGATTTTGGAACTTATTTGAATTTAGTAACTTAATTGTTATTTCCTAAATAGTTCAATGTGTATATTTTTCAAAAAACAAAACAAAAAAAAAAAAAAACAAAACAAAACAAAACATTGATATATTTAAAAAATATTTTGAGATCCTCCCAAATGCTTTGTCATGTGAGGATTGAGAATTTAACAGGAAAAATATTTTGAGACCCCCTCAACACACAACACTAAAAAAAAATGCATTTTTTATTTTTATTTTTTAAATTTTTATCCAATTAAAAAGAACTTTCATATTTTTGTCCATTATTTTTCTTTTCTTCCCAAAAATGTCTATTCCCGTTGGACACGTTTCCACTCTTCTTCCACCACTATGCCTCTGACGTTACTCCGACCAGTAGCCCTTACTCTGTACTCCAATAAAAGTAGCCGTTATCAGTCTCCAGTTCTTGCGCTTCCTTCTCTCTCTTCACGTTTCAACTCTGTTTCCAGAAATACTACTCCAAAGCACGAACTGAACCGTCACGGCATTTGCTTATGTTTGTTTGTAAGTCTCGGATAGAAATAGCACGTCTAATCTGCATTTCATCACTCTCTCCGCGTGATTTTACATTTCATTTGCCTAAACAGGCAAGTATCGGTGGTTTTAACCTTACTTTATGTTTCCTTTTTCTGGAAAAAGAGATTTTGTGCTAGTGATTATCGAAGCATTATGGCTGTAATGTGATGATCGCTTTGTGTATTTCATCCGTGTGTACGAATATTTGTTGTTTGATCATGTTAGCGGCTATTGTTTTGATATTCTATTTTTTTTTTTTGTGTGAACTGGGGTGTATCTGAGTGTAGCTGTGTAGATACATAAAAATACGCATACATATTTTGTGTTTTATGCAAGTATTGAAGTGCGGTGTATTTTGATTTTAGATACATGTATATACACACACGCACAAATATATAACACATCCTTCAATTACAGGGTTAGCTATTGATGTTGCGTTTTCTAAATGTTGATGGAAATAAAACTGAAAAGAAATTGATGTTGTGAAATTTTAGGTGACTAGTGCTGGTATTTGTTTATGTTTTTCAGTTTGTGCAATTGATTTCATACGGTGTTTGGCAGAGTGTGTGTTATCTTCTGTCTACATTGAGTGCTTGGTAGAATGGGTTCTAAGAAGAAGAAGGCTGGAAGCCATGTAAACAAAGCGGCACCCAATTTTAGTGCACCTGTTCGTAATCTATCTATGAGTGATTTAGGAGCAGTTATCTTTGGATGTAAACATTATACAATTCAAGAATGCTTTTCCAAGAAGTTATTTGGTTAGTCACTCCTTCACGTATTGTGCTTTTCTACCTTGAAGAAATTTTGCAGTGTTTGATGATTATTTTGTTGATCTAATATTTGATTCCAATTTTTTGTTGGATAGGATTGCCACATCTACATTCTCAATATGTGAAGAAGGTTAGTCCTGGGCTTCCACTTTTTCTTTTTAACTATAGTGATCGGAAGCTTCACGGTATATTTAAGGCTGCTGGTTATGGACAATTAAATATTGATCCACATGCGTGGACTGGTGGTAGTGTGGAGCTCACAGAATACCCTGCACAGGTAGTTATACCCTTTCTGCCTTCTTTGATTTTTAAAAGCTTTTATATATAAAATAGTTAGTGGTGCTCATATCTTAGCATATTCTGTCATTCAAGGTGAAATTTTATATCCACAAGGGGTGCCATGCTTTGACAGAAGACCAGTTTTCCCCCATCATTGCTGATAACTACTATGAAACGAAGCTTTTCTGGTTTGAGCTGGACAAGTTTCAAACTGCTAAACTGATTGAATTGTTTTCATCTTCATCAGTGCCTAATGATGGTCTTCATTCTCGCAATATTCCTAGAATTGCAAGTGAAGCTAGTACCTCTCTCGGACAGAGTAATGCTCATGTTCCATTTGAACAGAATAGATGGAGTGCACTGTTGAGTGACGATTCAACTTCTGATACGGTGAACAAAGATCGGAATTTGAAGATTGTGTCTTCACATCCAAATACCCCCTTGTCTAAGCAATCTTATGAGGAATGGAAGTCACCGACTTCACATTTAATCAACAAAGGTGGGGAATTACACAAGGTCTGTGCAGAGGAGTGGGCTGAAGCTAGTACCTCTCTTGGACAGAGTAATGCTCATGTTCCATTTGAACAGAAAGCTTGGAGCTCACTGTTCAAAGATAATTCAACTTCTGACATGGTGAACACATTTGAAAATTTGAAGATTGTGACTTCACATCCAAATTCCCCCTTGTCTACTCAATCTAATGAGGAATGGAAGTCACCGACGTCACAATTAATCAACAAAGGTGGGGAATTACACAAGGTCTGTGCAGAGGAGTGGGCTGAAGCTAGTACCTCTCTCGGACAGAGTAATGCTCATGTTCCATTTGAACAGAATAGATGGAGTGCACCGTTGAGTGATGATTCAACTTCCGATATTGTGAACAAAGATCGAAATTTGAAGATTGTGTCTTCACATCCAAATTCCCCCTTGTCTATGCAATCTAATGAGGAATGGAAGTCACGGACTTCATATTTAATCAACTACAGTGGGGAATTACATAAAGCCTGTGTAGAGGAATATGTTGAGGCAAGTTGATAGATTGTTCCTCCAATTATACTTTGTCTTTGAATTCCTCTTGATTTCTTCTTCTCCAACTAATTTATTTATGATATTTTCTTGATAGTTGATGCAAGTTGTTGAAACGTTGAAGGATAGGCAAAGAAAACAAGAAGAAAGAATTTGGACTCTTGAGAAGGATCTGGTATGTGCTCCTTGCCAAATATCTTTTGTGAGTTGGGTAAATTTTCCATTTGTCTTGAGATACAAGATGATCAGGAGCCTGCTAATTATTAACAAATTGCATCAATTCACACTTTTCATTCAACAGTAAATATTTTGGTTTATAATTTCCTCTTTAGTTTTCATCTGTTTTCTTTTTCTACCAGTCTTTACAGAGATGTTATTTCTGACTAGTTCTTGGCTATAAAGCCTTTCTAGCTTGAGCATGATTGAGAATGTTTAAGCTATGAGAAAAAGCTTCTCCATCATGCTCAAGCCTGAAATATTTTTAATGCTTTTTTGGCACATGTAGTCATTTGATCCTCCATTTAACTTTTCACTGGTCATTGGACACAAGTCACACAACACATGGCTTCATAGCCTAGCTGTCCTAGTTATGCTTCCTCAACTGGTTACTTTGTAATCTGCTCAGCTCTTTTTAGTCAAACAAACATGTGTATTTTGATAACATGTAAACAAATGAATTCATGAAGGGTAAACCTTTTTAGAATCTTATTCTAAAATAATATTGTTTTATAATTTAATATTCTTAGAAATAATGCTCTAAAATAGTCGACCCGTTAATTCTAGGTTGCTTTGAGTCATGTTGAATGACTTGAATCCATTGAAGTATTAAATTCTTACATAGTTCACTAGTCCAGGAGCCCTTTCTCCTTTCAATGTGTGTATATATAAACTTTAAGTCTTTGAGAATGAGAGACAACTTTGTTCTTCATATCAACTGTTTATGAATAGGACCAAATATTTATAGGAAAGTGACTGGTATTATCCAGTCATAAACAAGGAAACAATGCATTAAAAGTTTCCTATGAATTGGAATGAAAAACTGCATAACTTACAACTGTACTACTGGAAATCACTCAGGATTTATACGACTTTCTTTCCCCAAAACTGATCAATCCATATATTACCATTTATAAAATGTTACTTGATAGTTTGCTTCTAGGGAAAATGGAAACGTTGGATGGGAGAACCAGAAACAAAAATTTTAGCCGGTGTTATGAAATATATAAGTAATATGGAATCTATGTATATTAGGCAGCCTGGAGTTTTAGGGTTTTGAGTAGGTAATCATAAGGAAACTTGTTTCCTTGTTAAAAATCTTCTAATATGCATTTATATGGCTGTGTATTCCCCTTTCTAACACAGATTTATAAACCTTCTATTCACTTTCATACAATATATATTTTCTCATTCCTTGATTCTTTATCTCTGCTTCTGCCAAACTGGCGGGGTAGTTATTCTCCACCCACCCGGTTATGGGTATTGGTGGAGTCTAGAGCTTTCGTTTTAGGGGGGGGGTCCAATCCAAGTGTTGAGAGTCCTACATTGATAAAATAAGTTTATAAGGTCATGGGTTAGACTAGCTAATTGGTTGTATTTTGAAAGTTCATGCCCTTTATTTTTTCTTGAGCAACTTTTCTCTTTTTAATATATGATTTATCCATGACCTTGAGTTAAGGAAATTAGACATTATTATTCTTTTGCCTTATCAGGTTCAATCAAGAGATGAATATAAAAAATTACAAAATTGGTGTAATCTATTGCAAGCTGGACCAGGGCCTTCAAGCCAGCAGTTCGAAGGAGTTGATTGTGAACCACTAAACTGCAATCTTAAGACGGATGATTATGCACTTGTAGTGGGAGGGTTCGATGGGTATGCTTTGTTGCATGAAATGAGTTCATACTCTCCATTGCATGATCGGATGGAATCTCTTAGCCCAATGACATTTTGTCGTACATACCATTCTGTAGCAAAATTGAACAGTGAGGTTTATGTATTGGGTGGTGTGTATGGTGACGAGACCTATGACACAGGTAATTTTACTTATTTGTTTTACATAGGTTTAATATCAATTTTTCATAGTTAAAGCTATTAGCTCTTTTAAATATTCAGTTGAATCATATAATCCAAAGACAAATCAATGGTGTCAAATGCCTTCACTAAATCAGAAGAAACAAAGTCTTGCTGGAGCATCTTTGTACGACAAAATTTTTGCAGTTGGTGGTGGAGATGGAGTGGAATATTTTTCGGAGGTGGAAATGCTTGACTTGAACATAGGAAAGTGGATCCATTCTGGATCAATGCTTGAAAAGGTATCAGTGTGAACCATTTGAGTTTTACCTTCTACTCTAATTTGATGTTTGAGGGAGTTCCACTACTGTTTGTCCTTGTTATCTATATGATTTGCCTTCTAGCTCAGAAGTATTCATCTATGTTAAAAGTCTGCTTAGTTCTGTCAATTGGTCGTGTTTCTTTCTTCAGCGGGTTGCAACAGCTGCGGTAGAAATTAAGGGTGCTCTCTACGTGGTTGGTGGTATGGATGGACAAGATTATTTAAAGTAAGACACCATCATGCTATGTTTAACTCTCATATGCTTGCCATGTAAATTTTTCCCTCGCTCATACTTTTTGAAACATGTTTTTTTCAAACCAAGTTCCTTGCAAATTTTACCTTTTAAATTTAATAATGGCTTATAGTGATTCCTATTTGGTATGTTAGATCTGCTGAAAGATTTGACCCAAGGGAGCATACATGGAGAAGATTAGCGAACATGAGAACGAAGAGGGCATACCATTGTTTGGTTGCATATAATGAGAAATTGTAAGTTTTATTTCCATAATGATTGTGTTTGGTGGATTGTTTAATAAACTGTACTGTTTATGTCTTTACCATGGAAACCATTGAATTGGTCTAGCTGTTATTACCTATTCTAAAACACGAGCACCATTTGAGGGCAGGGTTGGTGTGCAATCTATGTGCAACCTCTAAATTGGACATTTCAAGGAGTGCAATCTTTTATATTCTTTGTTAATTCATAGCATAGCTCTATAATGATCCAACAGGTATACTCTCGGTGGCTATGATGGAGAAAGGATGGTCCCAAGTGTTGAAGTTTTTGATCCTCGGGTTGGTTCTTGGATGATGGGAGAGCAGATGAAGGACTCTAGAGGTCATTTCGGCTCAGTTGTGATTGGTGGAAAGATATATGCCATTGGGGGGATAAACAACAGTGAAGAAATTTTAGCAACGGTATGTAAGCCCCTATTCATGTATATGCCTCATATGTACTGGATGATAGGTGTTCGACAGAACGGAGCAGAATGATGTCTACACCTATCCATCTTTAGTTACGTAACCCGAGGTGGCTCGGGGTGCAGGGGCAGCGCCCTTGTGGTACGGTACAAGGGTAATTTTGTACATGTACCGTGTTTAGAGATGCATATAAATACGTCGTTTGTATCTCTAGGTGTTCTATAACCACTACAATTAATAAAAGCACTGCTTTGTTTTTGTGGATGTAGGGACATTGTCGAATCACGTAAATCTTGTCTTGTCACTCTTATCCTTTTTTTTATTTTCATTAATCTCAACACCTATCTACCTATCTGAGCTGGTTTTGTATATTCCTTAATGACAGGTCGAATGTTACGAGGATGGATGTGGGTGGCAGCTGACTAACCTGAGAGGTGTTGGAAAGAGATGTGATTTCTCTGCCATTGTATTGTGAGTTCTGCAGTGTCCTAACTCATCGTAAATTGATAACTTGTCTGGCAATACTAACACCTGAGAAATGTATGACTTGGAGAATTAGCTCTGCTGCTCATTTCATCGTAAATGGATAACTTTTGTCTGGCAATACTAACACCATGAGAAATGTATGATTTGGAGGACTAGCTCTGCTGCTCATTTCATAAAAAGTTGTATACACCAGAGTTGGTCTGTGCATAGAAATTACTTTCACTTTCTTCAATTTGTACTGTCCCTTGGCCATTTTACGATTTATTTTTGCCTAGTAAAACTTTATTAACCCAGTAAGTCATTATAAAATGGTGGTATGTGTGGAGCAGCAGCACAAGTGCATGCCCCCCGGGTGTTTGGGTTGGGCAAATTTTACTGTGGATCATGGTATGAACTCTGTTTTAGTTTTATTTTTACACATTAGTTTTATGAGCAAATACCAATTTATGTCCCCACTAGTATTAGCAAAATGACTGTTTTGGTCCACATATTTAATTCCTACTAATTTTCATTCAAGACTATTGTTTTAGTACTAATTTTCATTTATGACTATTGTTTTAGTACTAATTTTCATCCATAATTATTGTTTAGTACCAATTTTCATCCATGACTATTATTTTAGTGCCAAAATTCATAACGACGGTCACCCCTTCCGTTTAAGACACGCCGAAATATGAAATTATTAAGGATATTTTCGTCATTTTCAAATTAAAATCTCAATTTGAGCATAAATAAAGGGATTTGAACCCTAAGATTAATCTTAATTCGCAGTTCTTCTCCTCAAATTAAAGTAAGATAAGGATGAGAAATTGAGAACTGCGAATTGTGATTGATCTTAGGGTTTAAATCCTTTTATTCATGCTCAAATTGAGATCTTAATTTGAAAATGAATGAAAATACCCTTGAAATTTTTAAATTTCAACATGCTTTAAACGGAGCGGTGACCATTATGATGAATTTTGGTACTAAAATAATAATCGTGGATGAAAATTGGTACTATAACAATAGCAGTCGATGAAAATTGGTAGGAATTAAACAGGTGAACCAAAATTATCATTTTGCTAATACTCGTGAGGTCAAAATTGGTATTTGCTCTTAGTTTTATTATAATAATGTTGAAGTATAATTCTTCTTGTACATGCTATTTAGTTTCATTTTATACGCACAAGTTCATTATAGCAACCCTAAAATATCAAGTTTAATTTCAAAACATATTTATTTGACAATATGCATCTATATATATGAGCTCTGCTATTTAATTTTATTTTATACACATAATAGATGTATTAGAGCAAAATTGAAGTATTATTTTAATGACACGGGCATGTCATCGTCATGTTGAATTGTTGATCAGGTGTGTCGATTATCATTTTCAATTTTGAATTACTATCATGACACTCTCTTAGTTTCCATAGCCACTAAGGGGGAGATATGATAATCTAAACATTATTGATATGTTGCCGGACGAATTTCTTAGGATGTGTATGAATCTTCTAATTTTCTAATATCAATACGCTATGAATCTTTCAAAGTGTTCAATACGAAAGTCATAGAGGACTTCATTAGCTTTCATTTATACTTGAATAACTTCAATTGAACTTTGTATGACAGAGTTATAGTCAAAATATTTTAACATGTTACAAATTGTTCTATTTTATCATTCTTACTTAAAATTTAGAATACTCAAAAATCAAATGTTAAAAAACTATGTATCAAATTCAATGAATCTAAATAAGAAATAGATCAAATTGATATAAAATAGCTAATGGAAATAAATATATTTGAGTATTTATCAATAGGTCTTTCCGTGTGATCTGTGCGACATACACCATTAGATATGTATAAATACATCATACAGTATTCGAAAATACACCATTATGTGTGGTGTATTCATTTTTTTTGTGTGGTGCATTTTATGGCATTTCATTCCCGTGTATTCTTAAACACTGTATGATGCATTTATGCATATCTAATGGTGTATGCCGCACTGACCGCAAGAGAAATCTGTTCTGAAACAAAAAATGACGGTCAAATTTTTTATTCAAATGAATGGCTCAAGATGGATCACCATATATATATATATATATATATATATATATATATATATATATATATATATATATATATATATATATATGGTGAGCCGATCTGAATCTATAGCGAGACGAGACGAGCGCACGTTAGCAGGGAGCCAAGGGACAGCATACGGTTAGGAGAGTGGGTGAAGAAAGAAATGAGAGTGACGGACATTTCAAAGCAGTGCTTCAGATTCTCTTTGTTTTCACAGCTATCTTGCGTGCTATAAAGTTCCTTTCCATATCTCTTCTCTAAACCTCATTTATTCCTAAGTCCTAACTTCCCGGAGAGATCTGCATTTCTTTCTCCGCCGATGGAGTCAGCCGCCATTCTCCGCTCCCCCCACCGTAATTCTCTCTCTCTCTCTCTCTCTCCACATATGTATCTGTGTATTTGTATGTTGAATGCGTGTTCATTTATGCACTAATAAACTTCTTTACCTCTTATACCACCTCATTCTGAGATTGAGCTCCGCATGCTCGTCTACTGCTAAAATTAATGTTTGTTTCCTTAGATCCATGAGGCTCTGTTTTGTTTTGTTTTTTGTTTTTTTGATTTTTTGTTTTTTTTTGTTTTTTTTTTTTTTTTGGTTTTTTTAAATATAACTATCTCTTTGGGATTAATTGCCTAATTAAATTAAAAATGAATGATTCTTGGAATTGAGGGTACATTTGTCAACCAAGCACTGATTTTTTTTTTTCTTTTATATAAATTCACCTTGATGTTTGGATATGAATGTCCTCTCTGTCTCTCTTGGGGTATTTTGGAAGATGGGATGGTTACTTGGCTGTTGGCTTATTGTTGCTTTGGGCATTATTAGATATATAAGTAGAGCAAGCTGTGCAATGTTCCACAGTTGACTTGAAAAATCATGGAGTGTTATGAATCATGGATTCATGGGTTGTTTAGTGTGTTTTCCCATCTATAGAAAAGAGTCTAAAGACCAAGGCTCTTTGAGGTTAGCATATTATCTGAATCTGCAGTTTGATATTTATGCTTAGGCGGATAGAATGGATTCTTTCTATCTAGTTTTCGGGTGGGGTTGTGATATGATTTTTGGTGTCCCATGTCGAAGTGCTTGATCATTTTGATGCTAAAATAAGTTTCGTGTCTTTTCAAGATTGTGTTGGTAATTCTCACCTGAAGTCGATATTGGATATGGCTGGTGTGGTTCCCATGAATAGTGCTGCATTCTCCAACAGAAGTGGCTTGACATTTGGTGGGAAGCTCATTTGTTCGCGAAACAGGCACAACAGATTAGTAATGTCATCTGCAAAGACACCAGAAACTGTACCAGCAAATTTGAATGGTCAGTTGCTGTTCTTTCAATTATGTGAATTTGCATCAGACTTGTATGATGTTAACTCATTTTTTTTGGTACCATTCAACCACCTACTTTTTGTGTATCCAAAACTGATATGCTTTCTCTCTTAATTCACTATTGATTTCTATTTCCTGTAATCTTCTTCACTAATCATGAATGAATGTATCTTGAAGCTTAGACTCTTGTTTTTGTTTCCATATTTTAACATTAGCATATTGTATAGTGGATGAAAGAGTCTTGATGCCATAGTTATTTACTGTAACATGTGAATTTTTATTGTTTTTAAGATTTCCAATTTCTAAACCTGAATATGGTTGATGCTAAAGGAGCAGCTGTTCTGAGTCATAGCCAACAAACTGTGCCAGATGAGAAGAATTCCCTGACACAAGCTATATTCCCTGATGGTTTTGAGGTGGTTTATCTTTTTGGATATTGCTACTTATAACCTTTCTTTTTATCATAGCTTCTCGTGCATTATTATTTTGATACAAATATGAAAACTCCTTTTATTATGGCTTGAAGCATGAGATGGTTTCGTCTTTGTTTTCTTTCAGGCCCTAATCACAGAAGTCTGTGATGACACAGAAATTGCTGAGTTGAAACTTAAGGTAATAAATTTCTTTATCTGTTGCGTTATCTTTGTGTCCCTCCTGTCTTCTTGGTCTTATAGAAAATATTCTGGAAAGCGAAATTCGATTATGAAAATGGAATTGTTTCAGGCGTTTGAGTATACTGCATAGAGTTAGTAGTTGGTACAATACTGGCATGCACCCTAACTCGAAAGAATGAGTTTCAGGAGTTATGCATTGTGCAAGGGAAAAAGTATCTCCACTGTATTCTATCTTTAGCTAAAACGTAACTATAGATTGGGCTAAAGAATTCTACGAAAACAAGAACTAGATCAGTATCAATCTGAAATTTACATTTGTGACAGTACATGTAATCTTTGCTTAAAACACTAGGAAATTATATTTATCTGCTATTATAAAATAAGAATTTGATATAAAATACATATTGCAATTCCTAAATCGGTCGGCACTTTGTGTAATTTATTAGTATGAGATCAGGATCATATTTTTTTTTAAAAAAAAATTTATATTGAAAAGGAAGAAATATTTTGTATATCTAAGGTCTTACATCCTTGGTTTCAAAGTAAAATTATTCATCTTTCTGTAAATGTAGCAACAAGAGTTGGGGTTGACTCTAAACAACCATTTATTTTAAATTGTCTTGTTATGTAACTGCGCATCTACCAATGCTGAATGTGTTTCGAATGCATTTGGACATATGGTAGTATGCATTCACAAACATACCTTTAGTGGGGTTTTGTTGCGAGGATTTTTTATTAAGTATTTTCTTCATGTTTGCTATAGGCTGGGGATTTTGAGATGCACCTATTGCGGAAAATTGAGGCTACAGCAGTCCCAGCGCCAGTTGTCTCTCCCACACCACCACCTAGTCCAAGTCAACCAGTGGTTGACTCATTGCCTGCCGCTTCTTCAGCATCTCCATCAAAACCATCTGAAAAATCTAGCCCATTTATAAATGTCTCTTCCGAGAAGTCAACAAAGTTAGCTGCACTAGAGGCTTCCGGATCTAGTGGTTATGTCCTAGTATTATCTCAAGCTGTACGTATTTCATGTCTATGGTAACATTGTGTTTTGTATATTGTGGTATCATTTACTAGCAACTTTCTCTCTCTTCTTGATAAGTTTACTCATATCAAAGGGCCTAAAATGCTGTATTGTATGTCATTGTTTATTAGTAACTTTCTCTCTTCTTGATAGGTTGGCTCGTTTCGAAGGGCTAGAACTTCAAAGGGAAAGAAGCTA